TGGGGGGAGCGTGGGAAGCGCTGGATACCATCGTGAAGGAGGCTATCTCGGAGGCGTTTGCGGCAGCGGACAAGGAGTTCATCGCGACCTCTCGGCTACCAGAGGTTGGTTGGTGGTGACTTGTTTTGACACAGTGTGGTGTTGTAGTTGTTTTGGTTCGAGCGCGTCGTGGGGGCTTCGCGGATGGGATGGGGGATGGGGGGGGGGCGTACTCTTATGTTTTGCATGCCTTAACGGTTAGATCTTGACCGCGCGTCCTCGAGAGGACGGAGCGTTGTTCCCACAGGACCGAATCACCGATGGCCAATTGTTCCTTCCTACTTTGCCAAAGGTGGCTCAGTAATGTTTTCCCGCCTATATATCCTATCGATATGACTTCCCGCCTTTTTAACCCTTTTCCTATGTCCCAGTACAGCTACCGTCTTCTCCTGGCTATCCCGTGCCTCGAACATCTCTCTGTATCTTCCTTCTCAGCTCAGTCATGTACACTTCCCGCTCCGTCCTGTACACTGGATATTCCGCAACAACAATGAACCCGGTCTTCGTACTCGGAGCCGCGTTCGCCTTTGAACTTGTCGTCTGAATTGTCTACCTTCCGAAATCGTCGTCTACATTCTCGAAGGCCAATATCCCCGGTCCTGAATTGTACCTTTCAGCTTTGTCCTTGCATCCATTGGTCCATGTAGGTACGTACTCCTTGAACCCTATTCCTTCATTCAACATTCCGTACACATCTACACCCTCTTTATTTTTGGTTTCTTTGGTACGGTTGTGTTCTCTCTCGGCAAAAGCGACAAATATGTCCTTCAATCCCTCCAGACGTTCCGTATCCAGCGTATCACCTTCGTCAATTTCGAACTCCTTCCATGCGTCATCTACAACCTTGACCCACTCCGTGGGTTGTCTACCTCTCTTTCTGTCTGCCCACTTCTCCTCTCAAGCTATTTTCGGCAACCTCGCCTCTCCCATACCGCACCTACGGTACTGCCATGTCAGCTTCCTTGCGTCTCTTCCCGATCGTAGGGATTGGATCCCCTTTTCTGCCCTGACGGCTGCATTACTTGTGCGCTTGAGGCATCGTAGGATGATTTTCGCATCTTTTATCTGCGCCGCCTCGAGCTCTTTGTCTACCTCGTCATTGCCTTCCCATACTTCTCCAGCGTACTCTAGCGGCGGTAC